AGGCGGGTCAGGAGAGGTCTGCCACGCCATGTGGTCACCTCCGGGGCAGGCGGGGATCGAACTCATGCGGAAGCGGCTTTTAGATTCTCAGTGCTGTGCTTCAACCCGCTGCGCCACCAGGGAGGGCCGCTCCCCCCTCTTTTTCTAAATAATCTTTCTACATAAAATCAAAATGTAAGTGAAAACTTAGCAATAATTCTTTCAAAAGACATGAAAGAGACAAGTGTTACCTTTGCTAAGAGAAAAAAAAAATACCTTCCATTTCCTCTGAGCCATGTATTTCTGCAGCAATAACTGGGATTTGAGGCGCACTTTAGATTTTGAAGCTTTGGCAGGCAAATTATTCAGCCACTCATGTTTCAGGCACTGTGTGGCACTCATTCTGCAGCTGTGAAATCAAAGGAGTTGGGACTTTTAGCTGAGGTGTCTTTTCTGGTTTCCAAAAATGTATTCCAGTTGGGTAGGAAGCCCGAGTCAATAAAGTAGATTCATCACTTAGGCAGATTCATGCTGCTACTAAAAAGGGAACTCCTGGTTCAAAAATTTTTCTCCTTAAAGTGCAAAAAAAGTCATCAGCAAATGCTCCCTGTAGTCTAGAAAGAACATATTTCAGTGATTAATCACCACCTCCCAGAGAGGCAGGGTTTAGAAAGGCCAGCTGTGCCTGGGATTGCTATTAAGAAGTGAAAGAACATCCTTCCACAAAATAATGTCAACTTGTTCATCTCTATTAGGAATCTTTTTCTCTCACCAAACTTTTCACAATAAGAAAGAAACTAAACAATAGAGGCATCTAAGAGCTCAGATTTTAGCCTCACTCCTGGGTCATTTCCGGTCATTCCCATTCAGCAGCCTATCAGAAAGCCAGTGGCTACATCCGGGACCTTGATATCACTGCTGATGGCCTTTATGATCAAGAAATGGATTTTTCTGGCCTTTATTCATCTCCTTAACTCATCACTCCTCCCCCATATCAGCTTATTAATAGCAACAGAAAGAACAAATTTGCTATGCTCCTAGTTGTTTATTTTTCTTAATTTATTTTTATTTATTTATGCATGCATGCAAGAACTGGGATGTAGGCCAGAGATGTGGGGGAGAGGAGATTAACCACAGACAGAGTGGGGATCAGAATAGGCAGATTGATTGAAATACACTGCTGAAGGGAGCATTAGGAAAGGTCTGCTGTGCCTTGGGGGTCAGCTCCCTACTTGGGAGGGGTGGGGGGTGTGGTAGGGATTGCACTCATGCTAAACTGGCTGGCAATAGCTTTGTAGCTTTGAGACTTTAGCCTTTATGCCACCTTTAACTAGGCCCTCCTACTTGTTTATTATTTTTTTTTGTAATTAAAAGTTATTTTTATTGAGATAATATTGGTTTACAATGTTATATGTGATGGGAAGATCCCACCCTTAGGCCATCATGTTGCAAATTGGTTAATTGTCTCTATATTTACTCACAGTTACCTGAGTAATTAATTCAAATAGAATTATCAAAATAAGACCTGGAAGAGAATGACACTAAAAATCAACTCCCTCCAACTTCAATGTTTCATGTCCCTGAACTAGTCACTGATGATGGACCCCAGCTGAGGTTTCCCTCCTACCTGGTATATCGTACAGACTACGTGTTTATTTTTAATTGATTTCCTTCTTTCCTTTCCAGGCTAACTCTTTTGCTCTAAAGACGTGTCAGACTAAGAAACCCTGGGCGGAGTTGGTCCTTAGGAGCCCAGCTCTAGCCTGAGCTTCCTGGTGCCCAGCAGGAAGCTGGGCACCATCAGGATGGCCCCGGTGACAAGCAGTAAAGGTACCTTTTCTCTTTAACCAGCAGCCGGGAGACAAAGTCCTTGGCCTCCTCTGATAGACCTTCAAAGGTGTCAGCATCAAAATCCCAGCTACAGTTCACAATAAAATTCATGGTCTCTGCATCTGTCTCCCCTAGAAATGGGGACAAACCACTGAGTCTACAGAGGAGAGAGAGGACCGTCAGTATGTGGAAGTCACACCTGCTGTTGCACATCAGCAGGATAGAGAAGAATCTTATGAGGTTCAAGAAGTATTAACCAGAACTAGAAGGGTTTAAAAGAAAAGCATCTCCATCACTTCTCCACATGAGATGGGCCAGTGTTCAGTTAGGTTAAGAAGTCCAAAGTTGGAAAATTGGAAGCAAGAAGTATTCCAAGTAAAGTCCCCCTATTGCTCACCTCTTTCCCCCTTACCCTGAAGTAAAGAGCAGGTCTGGCATTTACCAGGTACAGATTGGCTTATTTGAAAATAGCTCAGCATGCCTCTGAGATATGTAGGCTTGTTTAAATAGTCCCAGGCCTCAGGGGCCAAAGAAAAACTGACAGTAGTTTTTCCAGAGTGCGGGTAGAGAGACAGGACACCACTGGGCCTTGGGCCTTGAGCTTCTCCTGCCAGAGCAAGACACACATTCAAAGCCCAGGAACAAAACGGCAGTTATACATGAGAGAACATTTGGAGCAAAGCATGGATCTTTGTTTCTTGGTCGGCCTCAAGAAACAACTAGGAACATCCACAGAGAGTGGAGAATGTTTAGTCTGTGCACAGATCCCCTCTCAGAGCACCGGGTCGGAGAGGCAATGTAAGCATCTGGCCTCCCTCTCTTCTGACCACTTCAGAGTCCCTGGCCCCACAGGGCCACAGCACCTGCACTGCTTTGCTGCGGGCTTTCTCTCCAGTTAAAGTTATGTTATTCCCCCCAAAGTCTCAGGGAAGTCATGCCCCCAGGATGAGCTCACAAGGAATAACTGATTAGAACTGGTGCATAAGCACTCCAACATCCCCACCCTCCAGTGGAATAACTCCAAGAAGGTGTTTCCTAAATGGATCCCAGAGTTCCCCACAGGAGAACACCCCAGATGCCCACAATGCTGACTGGCGGGGAAACACTGGCTGCCTTCCCCTCCTGTCCTCCTGCTCCTCCGGCTCCCTTTCCCTCTCCCCTGTTGTATTTCCTGGAATACCTTCCAAATAAACTACTCCCCCAGATTTGTGCTGAAAAGAAGGCCCCTGCCCCCCTCCAGGAGGCCCATCCTCGGCCAGACCCCTCCCCTCTGTCCAGCCCCCCACTCACAGCATGTAAGTGATGACTCCCACACTCCACATGTCTGTAGGGAATGAGACAAACTCATAGTTGACAACTTCCGGAGCAAGAAACTCAGGGGTGCCGAAGTTCACCTTTAGCTTCTCCCGAGGCTTGTACCTGCAGAGAAGGGGTACACAGCACCATGGAAGTGTGGCCTGGGAAAAGGTTTGGATGTGGGGACGAATTCCTGGAGGGGTCCTGTCAGCTATGTTGTCTGCACTTCACAGCCCACCACATGTGTCATACACCTGACCCTAAATTCAGGCTTTCCTAAGTCACTGGGAGAAGCAGAAAACCACAGTTCTCCTGGTATTTATGATTTAGAAGGGAGAGAAGGTCAATGTAGCAATCTTATTCGGCAATGCAGCCACAGGAATGAGCACAGACAAGTGGGGTAGATGAAGCTGTATTTGGGGGACCACTCTGTATGTGGGTAAATGTGGTTAGGACGACAGTAAGAGCAAGAGGAAAAATGGTCAGCCTGAATAACCAGGGAGATGCACCTCAAACCCACAATGAGACCCACTATCAAAAACACCCCAAAATAGTAAGTGTTGGTTAGAATGTTGGAAAGCTGGGAACTATTAGAGGTGGGAATGTAAAATAGTACTGCTAGCATGGGAAACATTATGGCAGTTCCCCCCAAAATTAAAAGTAGAATTCCTACCAATGATCTACCAATTCTATCTTTGGGTATATATCCAAAAGGATTAAAAACATGATCTCAAAGAAATGTTTATTTCTCCATGTTCCATCACAGTCACCAAAAGGTGAATGAATAAACGAAATGTGATACATTCAAACAGTGGGCCAAAACTCAAAGAAAATTCTAACGTCCTTGATGAACCTCAAGGGCATTATACTAAATGAAACAAGTCAACCAAACTTCTATGAGATAGATACCTAGAATAATTAAATTCATAGAGACAGAGATGGTGGAAGGTTTTGCAAGGTGGAAAAAATTCTGGAGATTGTTTACACAACAATGGGAGTATGTTTGACACTATTAAGCTAATCTTAACAGTCTTAAAAGGTGGTAAATTTTACTCTTATGTGCAATTACAAAAAAAAATAGAAAAATGGACATGGTTTTAGGAAGGTTAGGAAGAAAGATGATGTGAAAGGTGGTTTTTAGAATCACTGTTGAAGAAGATGATGTCTGGCTAGAATTTAATGGGTAGCAACCAAGATTTCCTTTGGTAAGAAAATGAATAAGCAAACTGTGGTACATCCAGGAATGGAATAGTATTCAGTGCTCAAAAGAACTAGTAAGTCATGAAAAGCCATGCAGGAGCCAATCTACAATACTAAGCCAATAATTCATTCTGAAAAGGCTAAATGACATGATTTCCAACTATAGAATATTATGGAAAAGGAAAAACTATGGGGTTGTGGGGAGGGAGGGTGAGTAAGCAGAGCACAGAAACTTTTTAGGGTGGTAAACTGCCTCTGTGATGCTATAATGATGACAACATGTCATTATGCATTTGTCCAAACCTACAGAATCCAACACCAAGAGTGAATCCTAACTAAGTTATGGATTTGTGTGGCTATGACATGTCAGTGTCTCTCTGGTGAGGGCTGGCTGATCTGCCACCACGACAAGGAGCAGGACCTTCTTGCATCCAAGTTCAGTTCACTCTAAGTTGGTGACTCCCAAGCAGTGGAGCGTGAGTAAATATTTATATATATATATATATATATATATATATAATAGTTTATTTTTACATCATTTTGTACATTTTTTTTCATCTAAGTTGTAATCCCCGTGTGTTTTCCATCACCAAGTCACCCATGTGCCATCACCATAGTCCCGTGCACTTCCCTCTTCCCTCCTCCCCCATTTTTTCTCCCATTCCCCACTCCACCCCCACAAAATGTCTCTGGTATATAGCTGTTCATTATTCTTGATATTTTCTCGCCTGGTCCATTATACTCCTGCTATGAACGAAACCATCCGGTATTTTTTTTTTCTTTCTGGTTTAGTTCACTGAGCATATTTTCCAACTCCATCCAAATAGTAAATTTTTAATCTCCAATGATCTGATTTTTTTTAAAGTTCTGGTTTGCAGCAGTTGCCAATTTCCGTGGTGTAAATACCGATTTCACCGTGGCTCTCTGAATATAGCTAAGAAGAAATGCACAATAGCCACCATCTCTGGTCTTTCTGCCATAAGATACAACAGACATTAATAACTTCATAAACAGTACAGACAAGCGTTGTCTAACAACATGTTGTCCCATGATGGATCGCACACGTAACAGCGGCCCCAGCAGGCCCCGGGGCCTTGATGTGTATGCTCTACCATGGAGGTCTGTACATACAATGTATGATGCCAGCATGTCACACTTCTCAGAATACATACCCATCAGTAAGCGTGGGTGACTGCAGTAGAAAGTAAAACATTTTGAAATTTTAGCCCTTGTTTCTATAATAATGTGTTTCCCTGTAAGTTTACACAATTTCATCATAAATAATGGTCATGTTTAACAACTGGCTTACATAATTCCTCAGCATGAGCTAGTATGTGTGGATGAGAATAAAAGATTGTGTCAAGCATTGCTTGTTGGGATGGTTATTATATAGCAGCATGATTGCAATAGCTAATCAAGAGACCCTCCACCAAGACCCTCTCTTCAGATCCAGACCCTTAGCATAGGCTTTGATGACCAGAGGTCACATTTGCGGTCATAACCACACAAAGCCTCAGGTAGGCACCTTTTGCACTGCCAAAGGAGCGGATGGAATGGGGCTAGGCATCCCATTTGTGAGCATGTACTGGATTCAGGAGGCCTTCATCACACATATGGCCACTAGTCAGGACGGTGGAACAATCTGTACTTCACTTAAGGGACTTTAGGATATTTTAGTTAGTATATACAGTGTTCACTGTATGCAGTGAAACTTAATGCTTGAGTCACAGGCTGGCACTACCGCTGTGTTATCTAATTTAACCTTCATAATCGCTCCATGTCCACCATTATTCCATTTTCTCACTGTTGTACCAAGAACTACCCCAGCATTGAATGGTACATACCTACATGGTCACCCACACACATTTTCCTAATTATCCTGGTCAACCTGAAGGGTAGAATGATGAATGATGGGAAATGAATAGAGTCAACCGCCCAGCACCCCCTTCTAACACCGCTTCTATCTCTGCTTTGACAGGTGGCTTGAAGAACAGTCTGTCGTCTGTTAAGCAGCAGCAAAACCCACAGCACAGAGACGCCCCTGCAGCAGCGACAGGCCTGTCTGCGGAGTGGAAAGCAGCCAGCCTCACAGAGAGAGATTTCTTGGCCCCAATGCTTGAAATCTGGCTGAGCTCAGTGTATGATGATTTCATGATTAAAATAGTGATTATTATTAAAAATAAATGTGAACTGATTATACATATGTGTGTATATGTGTGTGTGTGTGTGTGTGTGTGTGTGTGTGTGTGTGTATAAAACCAACGACTGACTGAGCTATGGATAATCTTAGCCAACATAGTCACAAAGAATCCCCCAGGAGTTTGTCAAAAAAGTGCCAACATAAAACCCTCTTACCTTTTAGCCAACCCAAAGTCAATGATCTTAATCTGATGTCCTGTCTGATTGACACATAGGATGTTCTCTGGCTGGGAAAGAGAGAAAAGTCTGCTTAGCTCATTCAAGAGCTAAGAGGGTTGCAGCTTACACATTTACTTGTCAACAGGTCTCAGTTCCCCAGAACCCATAGGAAATGAATGGCTCAGGGAAGACAGATAATGAAAGTAAAGTCAGTTGAGCAAGACAGTAAGGAGTAGTGTGGATGATGGGAAACCAGAGTATGCTGCCTTGTATTAACTGCTCAGTGTCAACCCTTGTCACCACGTAGGAACACAGGCCCTATGACCAGAGTTGCTTCAGCCGCAAGAGAAGCCAGAAATCTGTATTTGTATGTGAAAGTTCCAGGCTGTTAAATATCGACAATTAAATTAAATTGAAGTGCACATTTATTATGTTCTATGGACAGGAGTCCATAGAACACCTCTGTGATGGAAGCAGATTTGGTCCCAAGCTACTTGTTTGAGACGGTGGCTTGGCGTAGGGATTCCAGACCTGGCTGCATTACCAGAAAAGCTCTCAGAAGTCCCAGTCAGGTCTCACCTGACCTACTAAGTCTGAACCTCAGGAGTGGGACCTAAGCTTCTGAAGTCTTGTCACAGAGATCAGCACTGCTAACTGTCAGCGCTGCCATTTTGTGGTGACAGCTTTGACCCATGGGATGGGTCAGATGAGCTCTGAGACTCTGAAAGAGCCTGGAACAATGCCTACTCCTCATACCAGACAAATTTGGATCAGGGTGGGAAAAAGGGGAGATGGAGGGCTTATGCAGAAAGGACCTGTGGACTAAAGGATTCCTTAGGTCTTATGTATAAGACCTAAGGAATCCTTATGTCTTATGTATGAGGCCCATACATAATTTAAGCTTTTCTGGCTCTACATTAAAAAAATACAAAGAAACAAGGGAAATTAATTTTTGTAACAGCACTAATAAAGTACAAATAATAATTTAAGTAATATCATAAATGTACCATATGTAAAATGCACCGTTGTCAAGTATATGATTTTGTGACCTTCAGGACATTCACACACTTGTGCCATGATCATTACTATCTAATTTTAGGACATTCTCATCACTTAAAAGGAAACAAAACATAGCCATCAGCAGTTGCTCCGTTTTCCCCTTACTTCTAATTCCTGGCAACCACTTTATATTTTCTGTCTGTGGAATTCTCTATCATGCAGTCTCAGGACAGATGCCACTTTTTTGTGTATGTAACCCTTTCTATGTGTTGTTTCATTCAAATTGCTAATATTTCATCAAAATTTTTGTACCTGTCTTCATAATTTATATGGGTCTAGTTTTCTTATGATGTCACTTTTGGTATCCATTTAAGCCTGGCCTCCCAGAATGAATTAGGAAGTGTCCCTTCTCCTGTACCTGGAGATTTGTACAGGACCCGTGTTTATTCTCTAAATGTTAGACATAACTCACCAGTGAAGCAACATGAAGGCTTTCCTTATGGGTAATTTTTTTTTATTACAAAGTTTATTTTTACATCATTTTGCACATTTTTTTCCATCTCGATTGTAATCCCTTATGGGTAATTTTTTATATTAACTTGATCTCTTTACTTGTATTAGGTCTATTTAGATCTTCTACTTTTGAGTCAGTTTCCAGTGACTTGCGTTTTTCTGGAAATTTGTTCATTTTCCTGGGTATCTAATTTGTTGGCATACAGCTTTTCATAGTGTTAGTTTTTATAATGCTTTTTAAAATTTCTCTAAGGTGTCCCTTCTTTCAATACTGATATCAGTCCCCGGGGTCCCCTCTCCTTTCTTCTTTGTCAATATAGTAAAAGATTTGTGATTTCATATTTTGAATGCCTTAACTTTCGGTTTCATTGGTTTTTGCTATTGTTTTCTATTTTGATTCTATTTTATTTATCATTTCCTTCTTCTTGCTTTGAGTTTAGCTTGTTCTTCTTTTGCTATTTTTTCTGATGCAATTTATTGATTTGAAATCTTTCTCCCTTTACAATATAGGCCTTTGTTGCTACAAGTTTTCTTCCCATTTTAGGTTAAAACCTAAAAACCAAAACCTGCTAAGTTTGGTATGTCATTTTCATTAACCTCAAAGTATTTTCTGAATCTTGATTTTAACAACATGTTTTTATTTAACCCAATATGTTCAAATACTATTGTTTCAATAGATTATCAAATATAAAATATTAATGAGATGTTTTCCTGTTGTTTGAAATCTAGTGTGTATGTTACATTTGCAGACCTTTCAATTCACTAAATTTTCATCAAAAATTTTAATCAGAGGCCCACCCTGGTGGCCCAATGGGTTAAAGCCCAGCACTGCGAAGCTATCCACACTCCAATCCCCACACGGCACAGCAGACCTCTCCTGACCCACCCACTGCTCCCCTCAGCAGTGTACTTCGTCAATCTGCCTGTTCTGCTCCCCACTATTTCTCTGGTGAATCCTCTTATCCCCGCCCCTCCACCCCTAGTTCTTGTGTGCAATAATGAATAAATCTTTAAAAAATATCTATTTTTCAATCAGACTGCTAGTAAGAATTTAGATTTAATGAAATATTTATATTTTGATTTCATGGCATTTACAACTGAAATGTAAATTCATGTAGTGAAGTTGTCCCAAGTATATTTAGAAGTTTTTCTATAACTAAATAGAATGTCAGTTTCTTAAGTTAAGTGACTTAAAATTAATAAAATTTAAAATTCAGTTCCTTAGTGACACTAAAGCGAGTGGCCTAGACACATGTGGCTATAGTGGCCACTGTATTGGAGAGTATACTGGAGCACTGTAGGCCACACAACACCCCTGAATGCTAGGTATTATTCCCATTTTGCTACTGATGACCTTATGCAAGATTTCATGGCCAGGAAGAGATATTAACACAAGCCTATAGAGTCATAGGGTTTGCCCCAAAGACTGTTCCATGGCCCAGAGCCACAGAGTGGAATCCTGAACTTCCCCTAACTTCTTGCCACAAAGAAGCTGCTTCAGAAGCTCTGAAATTAACTCTGGGGAGTGGAGAAAAATCTGAGGCCAATACACCACCACGTCTACCATTTTTCTAAGAATGCAACATAAAACCCTGCTGTCAATCAGTGAGCTGGCAAGAGAGAGCTGGCTGGCACCACACAGGTCTAGCAACCAACTTCCCATCTTCTGGGGGGAGCCCCTGAAGTACCTGAAATGGCTTATACACAAGCCCCCCAACTTCCCCTGCTGGCCGGGGGGAGTGGGAAATCACAGACAGCTGGGAGGTATCAAGCATTACAAACCAGGCACCACATCCCCAGCAAAGCCCTCCTGGGACAATCCTGGGCCAAAGACAACACATCACATTCACTCAACAGACTATCATATGGCCCTTAAAGAGAATGAGGAAAGATGGCCCTAAAGCAGGATTCCTAGTACAATTCTGTGTTTGCATATCAAGCCAAACTGCCCGGTGGGGGAAACTTACACTGTGTGTTTTGTACATTTTCACATTGTCTGTATGCGTTATCTTTTTTTTGTTTTTTAAGATTTATTTATTTGTGCATACAGAGCTGGGGTACAGGCCAGAGGTGCAGGGGCGGTGAGAGAATTCACCAGAGACAGCAGGGAGCAGGACAGGCCGACCGATGAAGTGCACCTTGAAGGGAGCAGCGGGCAGGTCAGGAGAGGTCTGCCGCGCCATGTGGGTCACCTTCCAGGCAGGCGGGGTTCAAAGTCATGTTGAAGTGGCTTTAGCTTCTTAGTGCTGTGTTTTAACCCGCTGTGCCACCAGGGAGGGCCTGTGTTACCTATTTTTACATACTTTACTACTTTAAATTTTTAAAAATTAATCTAAAAGGTAATTTTAAAGAAAATGTCATCGTATCATTTAATCTTCAAATAAAACTGAAAGAGGCACGTTATGCACAGTTTACAAATGGAAAAACTGAGGCTCAGAAAGACAGATGACTTGCCCTAGAGTCCAGAGCCAGGAACTGGCAGAGAGCCAGGAACGGGAGCCAGGGGCATCTGTCCAGGGGGCTTTTGAGTTGAGAAAGGAGCAAAAGTTCAGAAACCTGGGTGGTCCCCCACTATGTGCCCGGGGAAAGCTGACCTTGAGGTCCAGGTGCAGGATGTAGTGCTGATGGAGGTAATGAACACCCTCGCAGATCTGCTTGGTGAACAAGACCACGTCCAGTTCGCTCAGGTGATACTTCTCATTTGTGATCCGGTCAAAGAGCTCACCCCCATCCACACTGCAGGCCAAAGGGGTAGGGGGAGAGGAAACAGGCACTTGAGTGAAACAGGCTCTCAGAGGACTTGTCTACTCCAGAGGCCAGAAGGAGCCAACCCCAGGGAACCCAAGGACGCTACTGTCACCTGGGGTTTATGGGATGCTGTGCCCTGGCCCATTCCCAGCTCAGCTGCAGTGGTTAAAAAGGAAGGGGTGGGCCAAAGGCAAGACCAGGTTATCTCCTGTGTTGATGATCCAGGTTCTCTCTGAGGACCTGTCCAAACTGTAAGCTTCATTTCCTAGAGCGGCCAAGGAGCAAAAGCCCAAAACAGGGAGATCAGACCAGAGGTGAGACTGTAAAAGGAGCTGTTAGTCCATCTTCTGCTTTCCCAAGGTTTGACATAGCAAATGCCTCACTCTCCTCCATCCTACCAGAAGGAAAATAGCAATAGGAGCACAAGAATAAAGACTCTGAGCCTGGATGACAGGGTCGGAGTAGCTGGGAGTGGTGCGGACCATGATAAATGGCAGACACTTGTCCTGTTTACAAAGGCCAGTCACTAGGTGGTCCAGCATGTCATCTCCAGCTGGACGACACACATGTCCAGCTTTCCTAGGGCTTTCATATTTTCAAGACAAGCCAGATAACTAGGTTTTAAGGCAAAATGCCCCAATTTGTAATTATTAACAACTAAATCAAAATGACATAAAGTTGTATAGGCCAAACACATGCATCTGCAGGTCAAATCAGCCTCATTGGTCACTGGTTAGTGACAAAACGGCTCTGTGCTGGAGGTCAAGCAGCTCCAAGCAGGAGGTGATGACAGGCCCAGGGGACCTCCAGGAGGAGGAAAGGAAGGCAGACCATTGCCTGGGAAGCACGGCCAGGCCCAGTCCTCGAGGACACGCTGCCCCCACCCCCAAGACACTCACTACTCCATCACCAGGGTGAAGCTGTTCTTGTTCTCAAAGGCGTCATAGAGCTGGATCAGGTTCACATGGCTGAGCTGGTTCATGATGTTGATCTCGTTCTTCACATCCTCCTGTGTGCAGGGTGGAGAGGAGTTTCCAATAGATGGGTCAGGAAGAGAGACAAATATGCCTTCCACAAGACACCCCCACCCCCACCCATGAGCATCTGCTTGACACATACATCACATGCATGGACACATGCCACACACATGCACACGTGTGTGCAGTGGCCGCATCCTGCTTCCTGCTCTCACAGCAAGACCCAGACTCACCACCCAAACCTGACCTCCTAGCAGAAGGGCCTTTGGAAACTGGGGTCCCAGGACCTGCGCCCAGGGAGTAAGGGGAGCTGCAGGCTGGAGTGTGGAGGCATATAAAAGAGGGAGGCGGTGGCCAGGTTTCCTGCTCCTGGAGGGGCTGGGGACATGGCGGGCCAGGGGGCTGTGAAGGGAGTGGAGGAGCCCTGGACTGAACTGGCTGGCCTGGAACAGCAGCCTTACCCGGTCCTTGGCACTCTTCACTTTGATGATTTTGGCCGCCAGCGAGAGGCCTGTGGACTTCTCCGTGCATCTGTGGACCTGGCCAAACCGGCCCCTGAGGAGACACATTGATGCCACAGGCTGAGAGCCCAAGAGGCTCACCCGCCCTCCGTGTGGGCTGCCTGTTCCCTGTGCTGACTAAGCCTACTCCTTCTCCACAGCCCCCCAGAACTCCCCATGCCCCAGAGCATTCCTAGTATCACCCCCTCTCCACAGGATATCTGAAACCTAGAATTTCTCACCCCTCACCACTCAGGCTGTCCTGCATCCTGGGGGGCGGGAGGGCCCCCCAGAAGCTATCCTTCCAACCGAACTCCATGCCAGCTCTCCCACCGCTTCCAGTATATGGTTGCTATGTCCCTATGTGTGGAATCACCGAGGCCTCCCTCAGCCGCACACGTGGCTTCCTACACTTGGGGGATTCTGTGTTCCCCCATGCGGTGGGTTCTCCACCTCCCCTCGGGCTGCACGGGGTCCCGCTCCGCACCTCAGCACTATCAGTTCCTGAGAAGCAGCCAGCAGCAGCCCCACTTGGCCTGCAGGCCCCTGCCTGGCCCCCGCCTCCCCTCACCAAAGCAGAAGGCCCACCTACCCGCCCAAGACTTCGTGCTGGCTCACTGTGTAGCCTGCTGCGGTCGCGGTCTCCTTGACACTCACCATCCGGTGCTCGAAAGGCGCGGGTGGAGCTGGACTGTCGTCTGTTCAGGGGACAACACCCTGTGAGCTCCCAGGAGGCCAGCACCTCTCGCCACCACCCAGCCCTGTGCTGCACTTGGTTCACTTGGCAGACCGCTCATCCAACCCGCCCGTTTGTCAGAGGAGGAAGCAAAGGCTCAGAGAGGTGAGGTGACTGGCCCAGGTCACAGAGTCAGGGGCAGGGAGCTTCAAACCTCGGTCTTCCAGCACCTGTGACTATGCTATTTGCAGCACGGACAAGTTATGTCCAGCCTGTTCAGTGATGATGAGAAGGGGGTGTAGCCCACAGGAATCAGGAGGTGCACTCAAAGCGGGTGTGCAGAGGGTTAATGATGGGGCTGTGTTTGCAGGTACAGACAGGGCTATGGAAGAAGCAGCCCACCAAAGCTTGACAGGAGGCTGGGATGGGGTGGGGGGACAGTGGGTGTGGAGAGAAATGGGGGGCAGTCACATGTATAGACTAAAATGTTCTAGTTTTTAAAAATTGTATCCTTTAGAAGATTACAAGTAGTGGAGTAAAGACATATGACAGAATCCAGAACACAAAACGCAATGGCCTATGCCAGGTTGTGCGTGACACCCCCCCGGCAGGGGTCACAGGCTGACGGTTACTGGGAGCACGTCTGGGAGCACTTGGGGCACTCTCTGGGCAACCCCAGTGCCTCCAAGACCAGACCCAGAGCCTGGGAGTATCATGGGTCTTGACGCAGCCATAGGACAAGCTTGATTTGGCGTTGAGAGTGTATGGCTTATTCTTTGTGTCTGTAAAGGCAAATCCTGATAGACAAGGAGGGCATGAGGTTCAAGGGTTCTGTTGTTTTCGCCTTTTCCTGTGTTGAGAAAGGTTGAGCGAGCCCAGATGCCGGCGCATGCAGCACGGATCCAGGGCCAGACGCCGTGTGGAGCATCCGTTCTGCTGTTGCTGCCCTGGCGGCGGCAGACACAAGGTCTACACAAGAGGTTCAGGAGCTAGACGGCCAGTCAGGCCCTGCCTGGCCCCATCAGCACTAACTCTGTGACCTGAACCTCTTTGTGTTTCCAGCTCTCACCCACAGGCCCTTGAGGGTCAGCAGGGCAGTGAGTCCTCAGGGAATACTGACTATATCCCAGAAATGACTGAAGTGATGACCTGCTCTCTGCTGCAATTCAGGACTTGAGGGAGGCGTGTCCACATCGGGGACAGGCCACGCAGCGGGGAGGAAGCACTGGAGAAGTCAGTGCTGCAGGGCAGCTGGGAAGCCCCAGTGGCAAGCGGCACGAGGAGGACCTGCAGGCCACAGGGCCCTGCGCCTGGGACTCTAGACATGCTGGGGCCTTCCTGCAGCCCCACGGGCCAGGGCTCTGCCATGGGGATAAGATCCTGAAGACTGGAGAAGCTGAGGGCCCTTGGGTCACAAGAGCACAGGGCCCTCTCTCCCCACCCCCGTCACTGGGACAGAAAGCAGGTCAGCGGTCTCACTGGCCTCCTCCCTGTCCCCAGTGAGAGCTCATTGGGTGCGAACGCTGAGTAGATTATATACACCAATTAACAGACTTGCTTTTAATAGGAACCTTCTCTGTCTCAAACCAGAATGAGGCCAAAGGTGGACAGCTCAGGCAGGCAGGTGGCCGTGAGATCCTAGGATTTCATCATGCCCACCCCAGCTCAGCCCTCTGCACCCCCACGCCAGGTCTCCCACCCTGTTGTGGATGTACCATCACATTGTTCCAGTCTTGGACTCCCCTGAGCTGCTCTCCCCCAAAACTGCAGGGAGAACCTCTCAGGAGTAACCCTTCCAAACATACCCACCCCAGGCCACAGGGCACTGGCCACTTACCCAGAACCACGTGGCCAGCCTCGGCACCCAGGGGGGCTGCTGTCCTTCCTGCCTCTGCAGCTGCCGCGCTCCCTGGTGAGCAGCCCTTCCTGGGCTCAGGGTGTCCTGCACCTTGGCCTTCCTCCTGCTGCAGGCTCACGGACCCCGCGTCATCTGCTCTGTCCCTCCAGGCCTCACGTGGTCCCGTGGCAGGCTTGACCCGAGGCCCCTGCCTCTCCTCGGCCTTTGCTCCCTCATCACTTTTGCACTTCTGCTGGGGAGGAAACTGACTGGCTTCTTGCAGGGTCTGTTTGCTTGACTCAGTTCCAGGGGCCTGGGGACAGCATGTGGGCTCAGGTGGGTCCTGCCCACCTGGATGGGCAGCTGCCGGAGCCTCTCCAGGGGGTGTGGGCCTGAAGCTGTCTCCTCCTGTCACAAGCAGCTCTCCGGAGGGATCCGTCTCCTGCATGTGGATGGAGAGGCTGGGCAGAGAGAAATAGGGGCCCAAGAATTAGAAAAAGGACTCTGGAGGCAGAACAGGCCTGGACTCAAATGCCCACTGTTGCCACTCACTGGCTGTGGCCTTGTGGCCTCGGTTTCCTCATCCATAAAATAGGTCTTTAGGGTTGTTTTAAAATTAGTTAGCTGTGGTTGAAGCGGGCTGACACCAAGCCTTGCCCCTGGATTCCTGCCCCCCTTTGCCCAGAAGCACAGCAGGGGAGAGGTTGGTTCCTCTGACGGCACCATTAGCATTCAGCAGTCTACTGGATGGGTGTCCACAGAAGGCTTGAAGCAACCAACAGTGGAACTGGGGGACCAGTGCCTCTGAGGTCCCTTAGCAACCAGCTTCTGCCCCAGAATTGTGGCCTTCAGGCAGGAGACCTGGGCCTCAGTTCCCCTTTCAGACATAAAAAGAGGGTGAACCGAGTCAAGCATCACACTGGACGCCCAGGTCAGACACGACTTACTGAAGTAGCCTGAACATGTCTGGACTTCCAGTTCTGAGCTCCCACATGGACCTGGCTGCTCAGGGTCCCATGTCTGCATGCCGGGGAGCAGCTCTCCACTCCCCACAGGCCATGCTATGTCCTGGCAGTGCCTGTGGACTTACTTCATCCATTTTCTGCCCAGACCCTGTGGGGTTGGGATTTGGAGCCCCAGTCAGAGGTTCTGGGCCTCTGAGCCATGCCCCCCCAGGGGTTCAGAGCTGCCCTCCCATACCTGCTCCCATTCCAACTGCTCCACAACCCCCCTCTCAGGCCCACATGTTGGGCAGGGGTGCGGAAGGGCTGTCTGAGGCTCAGGAGGGTACCAGGCACCCTCCTTTCTGGCCTGAGTTTCGCCACCAGGCTAGTGGATGACTTGGGGCGAGGGCAGCTTCGGCTCCCTCCTCTGCCAGATGGGGAGAGTGGGGAGAGTGGAGAGAGCAGGGTCTCATGCATGTGCGGACCAAGAGGAGAGCGTAAATGCACAGGCTGCAGAGAACGAGGCCTGACACGGCACCGACATGGAAACACGATGGTTCCTGAGAGACTCTGAAACACAACAACCGCATGATCCAGCATGTTCTGGAAACGTATCCAAACAAGGAAAAGCAAAGCCTTGAAGAGATGTTTGTTTATCCACATTCACAGCAGCATAATTCAGAGCAGCCAAATCTCGAGGCAATGAAGTGTCTACTCACAGATGAAAGACACACACATGTGCTCTGTACCCGCAAAGGGATATTACTGATGCTTAACAAGGAGGAAAAGCTGACAAAATCAGACACAGATGACCCCTGAGGCCATCATGCTAAGTGAAATAAACCAGACACAAAAAGACAAAGGGCGTTGGGCTCCACTTATATGAGGTACCCAAGTTAGTCAGGACCAGGTGCCTAGACAGTTACAGAAGTGGGGGCGGAGGGGGGGTGTCTACCGGGAGCTGAGGTGGTTGGAAGCTGCTTCATGGGTACCTTGCTTCCGATTAGCAAGATGACAGAGTTCTGGAGGTCTGCGTCCTAATAACGTGAACACACTGAAGGCTCTGGAACTATTCACTTCTAAATGGTTACAGAGGTAAAGTTGACAGTTTGTGTTTTCTACTGCAGTAAAAAACATGGATGCCAGGCCCTCCCTGGAGGCACAGCAGTAAGCACAGCACTAAGACGCTAAAGCCACTTCAACATGAGTTCAATCCCCACCCCGGAGCTGACCCACATGGCGCGGCAGACCTCTCCTGGCCCACCCACTGCTCCCCTCAGCAGTGTACTTTGTCGATCTGCCTGTTCTGCTCTCTGTCTCTGTCTCTGGTGAATCCCACTCTGTCTCTGGTGAATCCTTTCACTGCCCCTGCACCTCTGGCCTGGACCCCAGTTCTGTATTCATAAATAAATAAATCTTTTTTAAAAAAAAAAGTGGTCTGCACTGGACTATGATGATGGCACATGGGTGATTTGGTGATGGGAAGCCCAAAGGGATTGCAAATGAGATGGAAAAATGCATAAAATGATGTAAAAATAAACTACTAAATGTATTAAAAAAAAAAAAAAACGTGGTCACCTTCCCCCAGCCGTGGGGGCCCGGGCCCTGTCTGAGCCTCCAGACCATGAGAGCAGAGTGTGTCTGGAAGACAGGTCTGTGCACACCAGCCTTGGGCAGCAGGCGGCAGAGTCCCCTCCACAGAGGCCCCAGGATGAGTGTGGGTGGTGATGACAGAGGGGGACGGTTAGGGGGCGTCCAGACCTAGCTCAGACTCATCTCTGACCAAGGACATGGAAACTGGCTAGAAAAGAATCCAGGCAGCAGATGCCAGCTGGGAAGGTCAAGAGTCACTGCTGCCTCCCAGTGCCCCTGTGTAACCCCAAAGGTGCCGTCATGCGTTTCCAGACATTTTAATTGCCTAAGACATTCCCGCCTTCTGCAGCACACCAGGGCAGGCGCTGCTAGTCAGTGACAGCGCGGTGCCCTCCAAGTCCAGCTGGGGCCTTGGGGTCCCCTTGCAGGTGAACGCTGTCTGGGCCAACCCTATTTGCCCTGAGCTAGCCAAGGAGGACAGGTCGTGACGGCCTGAGCCTGCGGCGGATTGGGCACACCTGAGTTCAGGGCTGAAACCGGACAGAGAACTTTCCACCTCACGCAGAATCCTTTAGACCCCAACAAGTTCATGGAAAGTTCAGGCCCGTCCCAGATTCCACCGCTGGAGCCCTGGCTCTGCTCCAAGGGCGCCTGCCAAGAATCCCACCCCAGCTGGTGAGGGCTCTCATTGCCTTCTAAAACAAAGGCCGGCTAATGGTCTGGCTTTCTCCACCACACTTTACAGCAGACCCCAGCTCCCCTCCCTGACCAGGGCCCCAGGCGATCCAGGACAAGCCCAGGAGGGCACCCGTGCCCGTGAGAGAAGCCCAGGAAGCCCAGTGTCCTTAGCGGCCACCCTGGCCAGCGTGCTGCCCCCCACGGCAGGGGAGCACAGCGACAGGGAGAAATCCAGTGGCAGCTGGATTTCTGGCTCCTTATTCTCTGAAGAGAATCTGTGCAGGGCAGGCCCAAGGCTCTATTCTAAGGGGAAGTCACGGCCTCACCCTGAGGTCCAGGACCCCAAGTGCAATTCTCCTGAAAGTCCCAGCTTGACAGTCCACCACCCTCCCACCATCATAGGAGGACTTGATTAACCCTGAGTGGATGAAGCAGGATGGCACAGTGGTTAGTGGCAGATTCTGGATTCAGATTCTGATTCTGAATCCCTAGCTGTGTGGCCTCAGCATGCTGAGACCATTCCCTAACCCATAAAACCAGGACACCAGCCACACTCACCTTCTGGGGATGCCATAAAAATGAAATGCTAGGGTGCCTGGAACACTGATCAATGCCCAGTACAGAGGAAATGTACAGTGAACCCCATCATGTTTAGCCATTATTACTGTGATAATTCTCAGGGGTTCTAAATTCTGCTCTGCATTAGGATCACCTGGGGAGCTAGTAAAAGGCATGACTGAGGCCCTCCTTGGGGGTGCAAGGGGTTAAGCCTCAGCACTATGAAGCTCTCCACAGTCACTGCAGCATGAGCTCCATCCCTGACAAAGGAAGTGACCCACATGGTGCAGCAGACCTCCCCTGACCGGCCCACTGCCCCCCTCAGCAGTGTATTTCAGTCAATCTGCCTGTTCTACTCCCCACTGTCTCTGGTGAATCCTTTCACCCCCAGCACCTCTGGCCTGTACTTCAGTTTTTGTATGAATAAATCAATAACTTAAAAAAAGACAT